ATAGGGCAAGTCGTCGGGATTCACCGCCATCCTGTTGAAGCCATCTGGGAGAGCGGGTGGCTTCTCGCACGGGTTGCACGCATGCAAGTGGGCAAGTAAGACCTCGTCCACGCGCGCGTTCCTCGCCTTGCGCAAATCCTCCAGGATGCAGCTCTTGCTCCAGTACTTGGCCTTGCCCTCGTGGGATAGGCCGAGTAAGACAGCGAGAGGTCTATCTGTCTGCCTGAGCTCGACGTACGTAGCTCCATCGATCGTCTTGGTGTACTGGGGCACCCACGTGCGGACGTGCTTCATGTCCGCGGCATGATATTGGACCACGGGCTTCGCCTCGATCGTGAACGACATCGGCGCGCGTGAAAACAGCCGCGCGACCCCCCGCGGCGGCCGAGCGCAACCTCGCTTGATCACTGACGGCTTGTCACTGCAATCGAGCCCGCGCCCAGCCGCAGCGACGAGGCTTGGACCAGCGCTGCCGCTGCCCCCTCCCCCATCCCCCTCTCCCCGCGCGAGCGCATGCGAGCTGTTTTTGTTTCTCCTGCAAGCGCTGAAAGAGAAGAATACGCCATGTGTCCAGAGGGCGCCGTGTGTCCTGCAAGCGCCAAAGGAAATCCGCAATAATAATACCATTGTCTCCTTAATCGGCGTGCCGCCCCACCGACCTGAGATCGCGGCACAAGTGTCTAATAAGCTCGGCTCCGCGAGCCACGACTACTGCGTGCGGACCCTCTTCATCGGCGGCGCCTTCGCCGCCTGCGGCTTCAGTGCACGAAGCTGGTCACCCTTTTTGATGGGTTTGGTGTTTTCCAGGAACGGTATTTTCAATGTAAACTTCTCCGCGCCGACCGAGGCGTCAACGGTGTGAAGCTTGATGGCCATGTTAGACTTCTTGGGGTCGGTCACCTCTTTGTCAAAGAGCCAGTAGTGCGGCATGAACCCTTCTATCTTCGCCATCTTGTAGCTGCCGCGCGTGTTGTCCGCGATGCCGCCTGGATCATGCTTCTGCAGCTTCATGAAGATGTAATGCTTCTGCGCGACGCCGTCCGCATTAGTGATCTCCGCGCCGACGTCGATGGCACCGTTTGGAGCTGTATCCGAGAAGGCAACTTTGGTCGAGAAGGGCGGGGAGATCGCGCTGGAGACATCGATGTCAACCTTGGCGTACACGCCGCGGTGCTCCGTGGGCTCCGTCACGATGTCGACCATCTCGCCCGCTGCCCCCTGTAGGTTACCCAATGCATCAAGCGCCGACGTCACGTGACCAACCAACCCCATGCGCTGCCAGTCCGAGTTCGAGCGCGGGTCGCACCTGGCACTCCAATCGTTGATGTATTCCTGTTGGGATGGTGGGATGGGTTGCGGGGGTGGTGGGTTTGGGCGGGGCTGGGATGGGCGGTGGGGTTGGGGTAAATGTGCGGGATGGAGAACAACAGGAAAAGAGCACGTGGGCTGCGGGTGTGTAAGACAACCAAGCTCCATTGCCAAAATCGTTGCCCCCTCCCCCACCCCCTCCCCCTATAGTATACACGCCGTGGAAGGGGGAGAGCGCGGCGTCCTTCTTCTGCTCGCGTTTTGTGATCACCTTGAACTCTTGTGCACGCGGGGTGAGTAGCGATTTCAGGAGGTATGCCGAATCGACTGTGTAGTCGCTCCCATCGCCGATGCTCTGCAGCTTGATCTCATCCTCCTTGACTTCCTGCACCTTGTATACAGTTTTCATCTTGATGACCTCGATGTGGCAATTGGCGCTCACGCCCATACTTGCCAATTTGTGCATCCTGTCGGCGATTCCGCCTACGCTCTGCACTTGTGCAGAATCCGCAGCTTGCTGCGCGGGAGCTTTGGGCGGGGCTCCTTTCTTCGCCCACGGGGATGTGATCTGCGTGCCTGCAATGGTAGCCAGGTCTTGCACGTACACGTAGCCGATGTGGTGAAGCGACTCGAACTTTTGGCTCCTGGGGTCGGGCTTCTTCATGCAATGGTGCACGAGCCTCATGCCGAACCTGTTGATCAACGTCTTCACGGCCGCGTTGTCTTCTGACAGGTTGACAGTTTTTGCGATGTCTATAGCCATCGATTTCATGATGTCTGCCTGCGAGATCATGCGGTGCACTTCCTTGTTACTCGTGAGCTTAAGCCCGAAGTCACCCGATGCAAAGAGGTTCTGAAAGTCGCCCGATGCATACTTGCTGTCGGCGCTCATCATTGCCTTTACGCAATCAATGCGGAAGGGAATGCAGCCCAAACCATCCGAGCCGATCACTGCATCAGCCACCGCCGCCAAGACGGGGCCCTGCACAATGCGCGGCTTCTGGCACGAACGGTTGAAAGCCCGAAGCTCCTTCAAATTCGGTGCGTCTGGTCCACCAGCGAGCTTCCTCGCAAACGTCGCCAAACTCTGGATCTCTGAAACGAAATCTGGATTTCTGGATTGCGCTTTTGTTATTGCCCTACCCCACGCGACGTCGGGGTTCAAGATGTCGCCCTCCTTTTTATTGGCTTCGAAGTTGGTGACGATCTTCTGCGCGTCCCCGTGCATCTTGAACAAGGTCTCCCACCTAGTCTCATTCATGGAAACCTTCTGCGCAGCATTTCCAGACTCCTGATTGAACGCGGCTAAAGCCAACATAAATGCGGGGGGGGGCGGGGGCGGGGGCAATCGAAAAGTTAAAGGGTGGGCCATCGATTTCACAAACTTAAGCGGGTCCTGGAGCAAGGCTATAATGGCGCCGAATGCGTCTTCAGCCTGCCAGACAAGCACGTCCCATTCAAACCCCTCCTTCGCAGCATCTGCCTACGTGGGGCGCTTCAACCCGATCTTGTGGATGTCAAGCTTCCCGTCGGTACCGAACTCGACGTTATCTGAATCTGTAGGGCTGCCAAACTGAATGCAGCGGGTCGCCTGTGTCGTGTGCGACTTGCTCACGCTAAGGATTTTGATCTCGCCCTCGTCGTATGGCGGCAAGAAGCCGTGGGATTCCTAGACAAGGTCTCCGTTGAACTCGAGTGCCTCGGCGTGGCGCTCGTGAGATGGGGGTGGCATCTCGATGGCAAAGGGCACGCCCACCTCATCCATGCTGAACCCGTCGCTGCAAAAACTGCGCACCAGCGTGCGCACGTGGGATGGAATTATGCCATCGCCGTACCTGTTCCGCGGGTGCACGGCCACGTAGCGCCCATTCGTTTTCTGGCGCCTCAGCAGACCCTCCTTACGCAACAATCGCACCGCCTGGTCGCGCAACTGGAGAATCGGGGGGCAATGGCTGCACGTATACTCCTTGATGATGTCGAGGATCTGCTCCTGGACGCGCTCCACGCGAGCCTGCATGGTCTCACCCGCCATGGCGTGGCCCAAGCCCAATGCGAGAAACGCAAGGCGGGGGCTGCGCTGAACGCAACTGAAGGGTGGCTGACACCTTTGTCTGGGCCAGCGGCAGCACAAATGCATGAAACAACTATTGATTTCGCAGCATGCCTCCCACGGCGCCCGCGCAATATTCCAGATCGGGCACCAAGGTTCTCTTAGGGTTTAGGGTTAACGACATTGGCGTCACTAGTGTTTTGGGCGTCCTGTTCAGCGCGCGCGCTGTTATATATATTGATTGAAAATGCATGCCCATACATGGCGTTAGTTTGCGTAACTGCAGTTATGTGGCACTTACGCGCCACTTATGTGGCACTTACGCGCCACTTATGTGGCACTTACGCGCCACTTATGTGGCACTTACGCCACTTACATAAGTAGCTCGTAAGTAACTTACGCTACTTATATAAGTAGGCCGTAAGTACTTATAAGTAGGCCAAAGTACTTATAAGTACTTACGCTACTTATAAGTAGGCTGCCCTACTTATAAGTAGCTCCTAAGTAACTTAGCTACATATGAGCTACTTACACTACTTATGAGCTACTTACGAGCTACTTACACTACTTATCAGCTACTTACGAGCGACTTAGGAGCTACTTATAATTGGCGTAACTGCATAAGTACTTATAAGTACCCCCGCCGCGCGCAGAAGGAAACCGACGCCGGAACCGGAACCGGAACTGAAACCAGAACCATGATCTGGATAGGCTTCTTTGGGGCCCCGAAGAAGAAGGAAACTGGGACCAGAACCGGAACCGGAACCAAAACCAGAACCGTGACTGTGAAGGTTTTCGTTGGGGCCCCGAGGAAAAAGGGAACCGGAACCAGAAGCGGAACCGGAACCAGAAACCGTGACCTGAGGGTGCTCTCTCGGAGACGGAGTATGTTGAGTAGTGGGTGCTCTCTGGCAGCGGGGCCTGTGTGGAACCAAAACCAAAACCAAAACCAAGACCGCTGCGTTGCGCGCGGCTGACGTGGCGCACGGAGACGCTGCGGTGTGCGCAGGAGCTGCTGTGCCCGCAGGCACGGTGGCACAAACTGGCGCTTCGTTGCACGCGGCTGCTGTGGTGTACATCGGCGGCGTGGTGTACACAGGCGGCGGGCGCTGTGATGTACGCAGCCGTCGTGGTGCATATCGCCACCTACATGTTCGCGCTGCCCGTCCTCCGTCATTCCGAACCATTCCCAAACGCCGCCTGCGCAAAACGTGACGTCATCGACCCCCCCCCCGGGTGACTGCCGTCATCGCCCCGGACATAAAAACAAGCTTCAGCCGCGTCCGCGCGCGCGACGACGATGAGCGACGAGCGACGAAACACGAACGACGACGACGACGACGAACGACGACGACGACGACGACGACGACGACGCCTGCGGACCAGACGCCAATGCGGATTCCTACGCGGGCACCTACGCGGATCCCAATGCGCACGGCGGCAGTGCCTGGAGCGCACTGGGGGGGGGGCGCTGCGTCGTAGGGGGAGGGGGGGGGGGGGCGGGGGCCATGGCGCCCGTCATGCCCCAAGCAATAAAGAAATGGCCTCTTGGCGAACGTCAGCCCCGCCTAGTCGGCGATTCGGGCGGAGGCTCCGAGGGGCGGCGGAACGCCGCGAAGCGACCCATAGAGCGAGCTGCGGCCTAGCGCGCGGGCCGCTTCTGCCCCCGCCGAGGCGCGTTGGGGGCCCCCAGCGCGGCCAGCCGCGTCGCCCAGTCCACGGGCTCCCGCCAGCGCTGCGCGGCCTGCGCCCCCAGGGCTGCCGCGCAGTCTAGCGTCTGGCCCCCGCGCAGCCGCGCCTGGCAGCGCCCGCAGAAGAAGCCGTTTCCGGGGTGCGCCTCGTCGCCCTCCAGCAGCCACACCTCGGTGGAGCCGGCGGTGGCGGTGTAGGCCGTCAGCTCCCGGCCCAGCGCGCCGCCGCAGGCGTCGCAGCTCGTCGGCGGCTCCCTGGTGGCGGGGAACCGCTCTGAGAAGGGCGCCCTGGCGACCTGGCGACGCAAGGCAAGACAGGGGGGCGATCGGCGCGCCCAGGTCCCATCGACGAGCAGGGCCGCTGCTTGCGCGCGACGGCCCTCCCCGCCGACGGGGCGCCAGGCACCGCGTCGAACGACGCCCAGTCCCCCGGCGCCGGCCTCCTGGCAGAGAGTGCAAAAGTAGCCAGACGTCGCCGCCGGCGGAGGCGGCGCGCCAGCAGTGGCGCGGGCCCCCCTCAAGCAGCCGCGCCGCGCGCCCCCGCGAGCGGGGCGCGCAGGTCGGGCCGCGGCCGCCGCCGAGCCAGCCGCCGCGGCGCGCCCCTCCTCGGCCGCCGGCGCCGCCTGCAGGCGGCGGCGCGGCGGGCGCTCGGGCGAGGGCGCGGCGTCGCTGGGCCGGCGGCGCTCGGGGACCGCATCCGTGAGGTAGAAGTCCCCGGCCACCAGCCGCACGCGGCCGGCCCGCCGGCGCGCGCCCGCCTCTGCCGCCGCCGCCCACGCAGGCCTACGAGCGTCGGCCACAAGGTATTTCAACGGGCGCTGAACGACCCGTTCACAGCTAATGCGTCGCCCATTCGGATGCCGAGGCGCGGTTGGCGTCTACTACTCGGAGGCACATTTGCACAGGAACGCGGCGCTCGAGCTGCGTTGTCCGTCGGCGGCAACGCGTCGCCCGACGCGCCCGCGCAAGCACGATGGGAAAGTTCACCGTGCTTCCAGCGCTCTCTGGGCGATGGCCCGCGACGTAACAAGGCGGGCAGCGATGGCTGGGCATCGTCGAGGCGCCTACGGACAACGCCAGCACGCCGCATTCCCGCCTCAATATGCCTCGAAAGTGGATGCCGCCCATGCCATTGCAGCCAAATTCGCAACGCAAAGGCTATGCAAGAGCAATTCAGCACCCTTCGAGAGAACCTTGTGGTCCACCCGAGGCCTGGAGTGCCGGTTGTTGTACCGGCGATCCAAAGGCCAGGTGTGGGCGTGGCACTGCTCGCAGCACACCCAGTAGGCCTCTTTGGGAAGGACCACAAGACGCAAACGCGGCGCGCGCAAGCATGAATGCCGAACCCCGGAGAAGCCGACGCGCGCGAGAGCACGTTTGCTTCTCCATGGCGGCGAACATAGCCTGCGCGCCCCGCCAGCGGCCTTATGGACGCTTCCACGGGCCTGTGTACGGCTAGACCAGGCCCACTTGAGGCCTTCCTCAAAACGCCAGGCGTGGCGCAAGGATGTGGAAGCGAGCTCGGCGCACTGGACGACGCCACATCGCTGGCACAACGGCGGCGCCATCGGAACCAACGAAGGCTACGGATGAATACCGAAACAACAACAGCACGAGGATCCCACGATCATCCTCATCAAGCTCGCCGTCACACCTTCATGATCTTCAACAAAGCCGTATTCGTCATCATTACCATCCTCTTCCTCATCAGCCTCGGCATCAGCCTGCCTCAGCATCAGCCTGCCTCAGCCTCAGCCTCAGCCTGCCTCAGCCTCAGCCTCAGCCTGCTTCAGCCTCAGCCTCAGTCTGCCTGCAGCCTCGGCCTCAGCCTCAGCCTGCCTCAGCCTGAGCCTGCCTCAGCCTCAGCCTCAGCCTCAGCCTGCCTCAGCCTCAGCCTCAGCCTGCCTCAGCCTCAGCCTCAGCCTGCTTCAGCCTCAGCCCCAGTCTGCCTTCAGCCTCGGCCGCTGCCTCAGCCTGCCGCAGCCTCAGCCTGCATCAGCCTCAGCCTCAGCCTCAGCCTGCCTCAGCATCAGCCTGCCTCTCTGCCTTCAGCCTCGGCCTCAGCTCAGCCTGCCTCAGCCTCAGCCTGCATCAGCCTCAGCCTCAGCCTCAGCCTGCCTCAGCATCAGCCTGCCTCAGCCTCAGCCTCAGCCTGCCTCAGCCTCAGCCTCAGCCTGCTTCAGCCTCAGCCTCAGTCTGCCTTCGGCCTCGGCCTCAGCCTCAGCCTGCCTCAGCCTCAGCCTGCCTCAGCCTCAGCCTCAGCCTCAGCCTGCCTCAGCATCAGCCTGCCTCAGCCTCAGCCTCAGCCTGCCTGCCTCAGCCTCAGCCTGCTTCAGCCTCAGCCTCAGCCTCAGCCTCAGCCTCAGCCTCAGCCTCAGCCTTCAGCCTCAGCCTCAGTCTGCCTGCAGCCTCGGCCTCAGCCTCAGCCTGCCTCAGCCTGCTTCAGCCTCAGCCTCAGCCTCAGCCTCAGCCTCAGCCTCAGCCTCAGCCTCAGCCTCAGCCTGCCTCAGCCTCAGCCTGCCTCAGCCTCAGCCTGCAGCCTCAGCCTCAGCCTGCCTCAGCCTCAGCCTCAGCCTGCCTGCATCAGCCTCAGCCTCAGCCTCAGCCTGCCTCAGCCTCAGCCTCAGCCTCAGCCTGCTTCAGCCTCAGCCCCAGTCTGCCTTCAGCCTCAGCCTCAGCCTCAGCCTGCCGCAGCTTCAGCCTGCATGAGCCTCAGCCTCAGCCTGCATCAGCCTCAGCCTCCGCCTCAGCTTGCCTCAGCATCAGCCTGCCTCGGCCTCAGCCTCAGCCTGCCTCAGCCTCAGCATCAGCCTGCTCCGGGCATTCAAAATGTGGCCCGGGCCGGAACCAGAACCGGAACCGGAACCGGAACCGGAACCAAAACCGGAACCAAAACCGGAACCGGAACCAGAACCGGAACCAAAACCAAAACCAAAACCACCACCAGAACCATACTGCCGGGAATGGAGTTCTGGGAACTCGAGCACGAAGTGGCCTACAGTTGGCTCCGGGCATTCAGAATGTGGCCCGGGAATGGAGTTCGGGGAACTCGAAGACCAAGAAGTGGCCTACAGTTGGCTCCGGGCATTCAGAATCATTCCCGGGAGTGGAGTTCTGGGACCTCGAAGACCACGAAGAGTGTAACTGTTGGGTCAAAAAAAAAAGTCCCCAGCACCCTCCCCCGGATCGCGCCCAGACCCGCCTGGGGTGTCATGATGCTCTCTTTTGACACTAGAAACCTATTAGTCTTCGCTGTTAGGTAAGGAAACCGGAAACGGAACCGGAACCAAAACCGGAACCGTGACCTGGGGGGTCTTCTTCGAAGACAGAAGAAGAAGGAAACCGGAACCGGAACCGAAACCAAAACCGGAACCGTGACCAAAGGGGTCTTCTTCGAACCAAGAGAAGAAGGAAACCGGAACCGGAACCGAAACCAAAACCGGAACCGTGACCTGGGGGGTCTTCTTCTTCGAAGACAGAAGAAGAAGGGAACCGGAACCGGAACCGAAACCAGAACCAAAACCGTGACCAAAGGGGTCTTCTTCGAACCAAGAGAAGACAGAAACCGGAACCGGAACCGGAACCAAAACCGAAACCGTGACCTGGGGGGTCTTCTTCGGGGCGAGAAAAACAAAGAAACCAGAACCGGAACCGGAACCAAAACCGAAACCGTGACCAAGGAGTCTTTCTTCGAGGCCAAGAGAAGAAGGAAACCGGAACCAAAACCGAAACCAAAACCGGAACCGTGACCTGGGGGGTCTTCTTCGAAAACAGAAGAAGAAGGAAACCGGAACCGGAACCGAAACCGGAACCGTGACCAGGGTGGTCTTCTTTGAGGCGAAAAGAAAAAGGAATCCGGAACCGGAACCGGAACCAAAACTAGAACCAGAACCGTTACCTGGAGGGTGCTCTTCAAAGCCCCGAAGAAGAAGGAAACCGGAACCGGAACCGGAACCAAAACCAAAACCTGAAAGTCTTTTTCAGGCCTGGAAGAAAAAGGAAACCAGAACCAGAACCAGAACCGGAACCGTCACCAAAGGGGCCTTTTCCAGCCCCGCAAAAATAAGGAAACTGGAACCAAAACCGGAACCGGAACCGGTTAACCAGAACCGGAACCGGAACCGGAACCGGAACCGGAACCAAAACCGGAACCAAAACCGGAACCGGAACCAGAACCGGAACCAAAACCAAAACCAAAACCACCACCAGAACCATACTGAATTTCTCGACACCAGATGGGGGTGCGCATGGACGGGTCTCCCACCGCGGCCGTTATCCACGACACTGTCGATCAGCCTGGCAGGCGCTGCAATTTCCCGACACCAGAGGGGGTGCGCAGGAGGTGGTCTCCCACCGCGGCCGCTATCCACGACACGGTCGACAAGCCTGGCAGGCGCTGCGATTTCCCGACGCCAGAGTGGGTGCGCTGGGAGAGGTCTCTGGTCCGGCTTCTTGCCACCACGTTGTCGAAAAACCTAGTAGGCGTGGCAATGTCTCGACGCCACACGGGCGCGCAGTGGGTGGTCATTGGGCAGGGCCGCTATCCACGACATTGCCGCAAAACCTATTGCAGCAGGCATGGCGGTTTCTGGTCATTGGGGGTGCGGTTGCATGGTTTCTAAGTGCGGTGTTTATCCACGGCGCTGCCCTGATCCGTTAGCATCGCGGCTTAAGCCGATCTGAAAGATCGAAATCAGCACTTGATCTGAAAGATCGAAATCAGCACCCTCAGCCCAGGTTCCCTCTGCAACTGCTTGTAAATGTTTGATGGATGGCTCGTGTGGCTCGAGGTGGTAGCGGTGGTAGTGGCAGCATAGTGCACACAGGACATAAATTAAGTATGTGGGTTTTTCTCGGTCGTGTAGTTATAGGTTTGTTGGGCACTCGGTTTTGATATTGTTACGAAGCCGAAGATTCGTTTGGCGGATTCCGGCACGCGCGCGCGACAACGCGCGCGCGTGAGTTCGCACCGTTTTTGTGTGCAAAAGGAGTCTCGCGACGGCACGCGCGCAAGGGCGTTCGAACGATCTCGACATGAGCTCGCGAAGCTTTGGTAGCATGCTCTAAAAAAGTTATTCGCCGATAGTTTCCTTCAGAATTCGCATGAGCGCGGGTGAAAGAAAGCTTGTTTAAGAGATCCGCGTGGCGAAACACCGTGTTTTTAGTTGTTTTTCGGGCAATCGATTTTGAATCACTTACGACGTCGAAGGTTTTCAACAACATGATTTCTGCATGCTCGCGCGACGACGCGCGCGTGTGCCCTCGGCACCATTAATTGCAGGGGACTTCTGGACGTTTGAGATTTGTGATAAGCGAGTGTGCGCGAACAGTATGTGTTTGCAGAGGATGTTGGGGGGGGGGGCGATACTGGTTGGGATGGGATTCTATGCGTTCATATTTCGAATGGACGATGGGGCATTCTCGTATGCACATTGCAATACGAAAGAAGGGGGGGCGATAATCCCGGGAGGGGGGGGGGGGGTAGAGAACATTCTCTTTTTAGGAAAAGAAACTTTATGTGGTATAATGGTTGTGGTAAGATTTTCGTTGTCCAGAATACGTCTCGCAACTAATGTTGTCCAGCTCAAGCGGTGCATACATGTGTTGTGCAACATATGTGGGGCAACCACTATAGTGCAAACTACGTAGTGACATAGATCGATGGGGTGCAACCCGTATGTTGCAGCATCGGTTGTGCATTCTATGTGGCTGGGTCTGCGTGTTGCAGTCTGCGTGGTGCAATTTTGGCGGTGCAACCAATGTGGTACAACCTATGCTGACCAGGATGTGTCGTGCAACCCGCGTTGTGCAAGACATATGGTTCTTATTAGCTTTGCACACTATGTGGGGCAC